TGAAGCAGTTGGAGACTGCAGGCACTGCCAAGCTGCTGCTAAGCATCGGTGCCGAGAGCGGAGCCGACATCTGAAGGCCCGCTCCCAATCCTCACACTTCACTGCAGCAGTGCGAGGGCGCTGCTGGCTGTGATGATGGCAAAATGTCCGCGCAAGGGCGACGATTGTAGGAGACTGCTGCCGCACTGCCATGTATTTGATTGTGACTAAACCCTAAACCCTAAACCCTAAACCCTAAACCCTAAACCCTAAACCCTAAACCCTAAACCCTAAACCCTAAACCCTAAAACCCTAAACCCTAAACCCTAAACCCTAAACCCTAAACCCTAAACCCTAAACCCTAAACCCTAAACCCTAAACCCTAAACCCTAAACCCTAAACCCTAAACCCTAGACTACATACTGGTACTAGGACCGCTGCCGCTGCAACTGCTGCTACTGCTACTGCTGCAGCTCCTGCTTCACCTACTGCCTTGTAGCTGCTACTGTTACTACTCCTACTTATGCCAGCTCCGCTGCTGATGCCAATTATGTGGAGGACGCCGCAGCATCCTGTGCGCGAGACGACAGCTTCCACCACCCAAAATCGATTCCAGCAAGACCTTTGTGGGCCATGGCTTCTAAGCTTGCGGTTCCCGTGGACCATGTGGACCTGGAGACGGCCTCCACGGAAGATGGGCTGTCAGAGCCCGAGAAGAGTGTGGAAGGTGTGCAAGGTGGATCTAAGGCGGAGCAGGGTTCAGGCAAAGGCAGCGAGGGAACATCCGGTGTGGCGGGTCTCTTCCGCTCGGGAGGTGTGTTGCCTTCGGCCATCTGCTTGAGCAAAGCAGGCATTGGCGCTGGCATCTTGTCCATTTCCGTACATGCTGCAGAAGTGGGTGCCCTCTACCAGCTGGGTTGTCTGCTGATCGGCGCAGTGCTGACTGTGGCAAGCATCCGCATGATCTCCGTGGCTTCCGTGGAGACCAAGTCGTGGAGCTTCGAGGATCTTTGTGAGAGCCTCTTCCACCCATCTATGTCCTTCATCACGGGCTTCATGAACACCTGCAATTGCCTTGGCGCTGCGGCAGGATACCTCATCGTTTGCGGCCAGGTCTTCGTGGTGATCTTCGATGCGGACCAGCGTGCGCGCAACATCTTCGTGGTCTTGGTGGGGATCTTCGTGTGCTGTCCCATGGCCCTCGCCCGAGATATCGGCTTCATGCGGCACCTGGCGGCCCTCAGCGTAGCTGCTTTGGCGTTTCTGGTGATCGTGGTGGGAAGCTACTTGGGCCAGTCCGGCGTCAACGAGAGCGTCACGCCGGAGACCTTCCTTTTTGGCCCCGGCCACGCTACCATGCTGAGCTACATGGGCGCCATCAACAATATGGTCTTCGCGTACAACAACCAGTTCAATGTCCCACAGCTCACTGGAGAAATCACGCCCGAGCCGTCGGTGAAGCGGATGATGCGTGTGGCCTTGCTGAGCTCTGGCCTCAGCTTCGTGCTGTACGCCACTGTGTCCATCCTCGGAGTCTTGGCTTTCGGAGTGGCAGAGGGTCAGAAGGACTCGTTGATTCTGGACCTGATGCCTGTGAGGAAGCAAGTGTTGGTGGTCATCTCTTTGGCCTCGGTGATGTACAGCGTTCTGACTTGCTTCCAGTTTCACATCTACCCCGTGCGTCAGTTCCTGGCCTATGCCGTGCGGAAGGTCCGGGGCCGCGACGCCGACGCCGAGGCGACGGATGTCGTGATCTACGGCCGGTCCATGACCCGGTGGTACGACATCTTCGGTGCCATCGCTTCTGTGGCCTTAGTGGTGCTGGTGGCTGTGGTCATCACCAGTCTTCGGGACATGCTGGACTTCATCGGCGCCTTTGCCTCGGCTTACATCTCCTTCATCGTGCCACCCTTGTGGATCCTGGCGCTCCGTCGCAGGGACACGAAGAGCTTCTCGTGGTTCACCAGAGAGATCCTCGTGACCCTGGCCTTCCTGGCTCTGGGCATCTTCCTCTTCGTCTTCGGCACGTACACGGCCATCAAGCAGATTCTTGGAGTCGCCTGAGCTTGCAGAGCTCTGCATAGGTCTGCATAGGTCTTCGACATGCAGGACGTTCGCGCACATATGCTGGCATAGAATGGTCATGAAGCACCATGCCTTTTTCGAATTCGGTTAGACCCGTGCCCGCACGAGGCCTTTTTATCCAGCTCGCCCATGTTGTACAGCATGTTACGCTCCCGCAGCCGACACGACACGTGTGTCCACAGAGACGGCACGTCAGCTGAAAGCTGCGGCTTGCGAAAATCCTGGCGAAGCAGGTGAAGCAGTTGGAGACTGCAGGCACTGCCAAGTTGCTAAGCATCGGTGGCGAGAGCGGAGCCGACATCTGAAGGCCCGCTCCCAATCCTCACACTTCACCGCAGCAGTGCGAGGGCGCTGCTGGCTGTGATGATGGAAAAAAAACGGCTCCGTGCAGGGGCGACGATTGTAGAGGAGACTGCTGCCGCACTGCCATGTATTTGATTGTGACTAGGACCGCTGCCACTGCAACTGCTGTTCTGCTACTGCTGCATCTCCTGCTTCACTTATTGCCTTGTAGCTGCTACTTTTACTACTTCTACTTATGCCAGCTCCGATGATGAAAAATTATGTGGGGGACGCCGCAGCATCCTGTGCGCGAGACGACAGCTTCCACCACAAAAAACGATTCCAGCAAAGACCTTTGTGGGCCATGGCTTCTAAGCTTGCGGTTCCGGCGGACCACGTGGACCTGGAGACGGCCTCCACGGAAGATGGGCTGTCAGAGCCCGAGAAGATTGTGGAAGGTGCGCAAGGTGGATCTAAGGCGGAGCAGGGTTCAGGCAAAGGCAGCGAGGGAACATCCGGTGTGGCGGGTCTCTTCCGCTCGGGAGGTGTGTTGCCTTCGGCCATCTGCTTGAGCAAAGCAGGCATTGGCGCTGGCATCTTGTCCATCTCCGTACATGCTGCAGAAGTGGGTGCCCTCTACCAGCTGGGCTGTCTGCTGATCGGCGCAGTGCTGACTGTGGCAAGCATCCGCATGATCTCCGTGGCTTCCGTGGAGACCAAGTCGTGGAGCTTCGAGGATCTTTGTGAGAGCCTCTTCCACCCATCTATGTCCTTCATCACGGGCTTCATGAACACCTGCAACTGCCTGGGCGCAGCGGCAGGATACCTCATCGTTTGCGGCCAGGTCTTCGTGGTGATCTTCGATGCGGACCAGCGTGCCCGCAACATCTTCGTGGTCTTGGTGGGGATCTTCGTGTGCTGTCCCATGGCCCTCGCCCGAGATATCGGCTTCATGCGGCACCTGGCGGCCCTCAGCGTAGCTGCTTTGGCGTTTCTGGTGATCGTGGTGGGAAGCTACTTGGGCCAGTCCGGCGTCAACGAGAGCGTCACGCCGGAGACCTTCCTCTTTGGCCCCGGCCACGCTACGATGCTGAGCTACATGGGCGCCATCAACAATATGGTCTTCGCGTACAACAACCAGTTCAATGTCCCACAGCTCACTGGAGAAATCACGCCCGAGCCGTCGGTGAAGCGGATGATGCGTGTGGCCTTGCTGAGCTCTGGCCTCAGCTTCGTGCTGTACGCCACTGTGTCCATCCTCGGAGTCTTGGCTTTCGGAGTGGCAGAGGGTCAGAAGGACTCCTTGATTCTGGACCTGATGCCTGTGAGGAAGCAAGTGTTGGTGGTCATCTCTTTGGCCTCGGTGATGTATAGCGTGCTGACTTGCTTCCAGTTTCACATCTACCCCGTGCGTCAGTTCCTGGCCTATGCCGTGCGGAAGGCCCGGGGCCGCGACGCCGACGCAGAGGCGACGGATGTCGTGGTCTACGGCCGGTCCATGACCCGGTGGTACGACATCTTCGGTGCCATCGCTTCTGTGGCCTTAGTGGTGCTGGTGGCTGTGGTCATCACCAGTCTTCGGGACATGCTGGACTTCATCGGCGCCTTTGCCTCGGCTTACATCTCCTTCATCGTGCCACCCTTGTGGATCCTGGCGCTCCGTCGCAGGGACACGAAGAGCTTCTCGTGGTTCACCAGAGAGATCCTCCTGACCCTGGCCTTCCTGGCTCTGGGCATCTTCCTCTTCGTCTTCGGCACGTACACGGCCATCAAGCAGATTCTTGGAGTCGCCTGAACTCTGCAGGGCTCTGCATAGGTCTGCATAGGTCTTCGACATGCAGGACGTTCGCGCACATATGCTAGCATAGAATGGTCATGAAGCACCATGCCTTTTTCGAATTCGGTTAGACCCGTGCCCGCACGAGGCCTTTTTATCAAGCTCGCCCATGTTGTACAGCATGTTACGCTCCCGCAGCCGACACGACACGTGTGTCCACAGAGACGGCACGTCAGCTGAAAGCTGCGGCTTGCGAAAATCCCGGCGAAGCGGGTGAAGCAGTTGGAGACTGCAGGCACTGCCAAGCTGCTAAGCATCGGTGCCGAGAGCGGAGCCGACATCTGAAGGCCCGCTCCCAATCCTCACACTTCACCGCAGCAGTGCGAGGGCGCTGCTGGCTGTGATGATGGCAAAAAAATTGGCTCCGTGCAGGGGCGACGATTGCACAAGACTGACGGTGCGACTACTGCCAACTGCACTGCCATGTTTATGACTGTGGCTACGACTACTGTTACTAGGGGCGCTGCAACTGCAACTGCTGCTACTGCTACTACTGTAGCTGCTGTTGCACTACTGCGACTCTTGAAAGACATGTGCAGATTGGCTTTGTGCCAGTCGTCGCATTGAGTATCGCTGAGTGATTGCGAATTGACCGTGCTTCTCCTGTTCATGGCTCGAAGTCGAAGGTCAAGCGCAGGTCAGGAAGCAAGGTCTTCTACAAATTGACCTGCGTGGGTTTTCTCATAGCAGCTCGCCAGGAACCTGCATTGCAGCACATTTTCTGTGTCGCAAGTATACTTTTCTTAGAGTGCCTCCGTGCCTCTAGCCCAGCGCGGCCACCAAGCCTGCGGTGTCATTGCTGAACGCTCTCAGCAGTATGCATCTGTCATTTCGCTTTCCAGACGGGCGCACTGTTGGACCTGTTCAGTGTGATCCGCACATGCTCGTAGATGATGTGGCCTATCGCCTGAAGACCCAGATCAAGCCCACAGAGAAGGTGTATGCTCGTCTTTCTTGGGAGGGCTGTTGGCTACCACCGTGCCAGAAGCTGTCAGGAACATCTGTGGCCGATGAGGACGTTATTGAGACCATGTGGGCCTCAGCATTGCCTTTGGCCGTGCAAGGTACTGACGGACAGGAGGTCTTACCGAGACGACTCCCAGTCCTGCCAAGGTTCGACAGCAGTGCTTCAGAGGGTGTGTTTGACTTCCTTGATTTCTCCGGCATGTACAAGCTTGACCAGCATCTTCACGAGTTGGAGCTGCTTCCCACAGCTTCGTTACAGTCAATACAAATGTTGGACATTCGCCAGTGCGGCTTGCAAGCGAACTACTTGTGCCAGCTGCTTGTACTGATGCCATCCTCTTTGAAAGAGTTGCGGGCAAGCCGGAATTTCATCGACAAATCTGTTTTGGAGTGCCTCTGCGACAGTGGATTTCCCTTGAGAGTCCTGGACATTGGCTACTCTCATTGCAAGGACCCTTCAGCCCTCAACTCTATGAATCCTACCCCAGAACCCTCAACCTGAAACTCGCATTGCATGGGATCTGAAGCCCTAAGCCCTAAGCCCTAAGCCCTAAGCCCTAAGCCCTAAGCCCTAAGCCCTAAGCCCTAAGCCCTAAACCCTAAACCCTAAACCCTAAGCCCCACACCCTGAACCCTGATTGCAAGGACTGCTCCTCACTGCCCCGCATCGGCGAAGTCTTCGGGGCAACTTTGGAAGAGCTGGGCGTGGCGGATCTGAGCAAGCTCCTCATGCTTTTTACGGGGTTTAGGGTTTAGGGTTTAGAAGTATATGGGGGTTTACGAAAGTGGGGGACCCCCAATATAGATCCCCAGATAGTAGTATCACCTTAAAGGTACTTCGGGAACCCCCAAGAAAGGGTCTTAGGGTTTTCGGGCTTAAGGGGTATTCAAGGGATGAAGACTCGTACCCCTATGGCTGTACCCCCAAAGGTTCCCCTTAATATGCTCCTGATATGCCCCCCATCTTCCCTTAGGGATCCTCAAAAATGGCACCCCCAAACCCAAGGTCCAAGGTAGAGCCCCTGGAGTGTGGTTCCAGGGTTTTGGGGGGTTTTGGGGTTTTCGGTCCTTTTCCGCAGCAGGGGGAGTAGTTTTGTGGGTGAACGGTCAGAACATAATCCCTACTTGGAGGTTCATGGTACTTATTAACCAATTGTAACTGTACTTTTCACCCACTTATAAGCCCCTCAAGCGCCCTAATATGGTTATGAGTACAGTTATAAGTACCGTTATCATTGGTTAAGAAAGTACCATGGACCTCCAGGTACTACAAAGCCCTATAAACACCGTACACCCTCTGACAATAAACGCCCTCCAAAAACCCCACAAACCCTACATGCCCCATACCCTGCCAAAAAAACCCGTGATGTGCACCCCGTGAAAAATCTAGAAACCCAAACCCTCAACCCGAGAAACCCTAAAAACCCCTAAACCCTAAACCCTAAATCCTGAAGGGTACCCCCCCCAAGGTTGGGAAAACCCAAACTGCTGGCCGACGCGCTCTCCCGGTGTCCGGCCTTGAAGGTGCCGGGGTGGGTTCAGGGTTTACAGGGTTAGGGTTGAGGGTTTGTCGGTTTGAGGGTTCAGGGTTTATAGGGTTTATAGGGTTTAGGGCTATTCTAGTAGTCTAAGGGAAGTTGCATGGTCTAATCATATGGCCCCTTACAGTCTTGAATAGGTTTTGAAGTGCGGGGTCCCATGAAAGGGCCCATGCTAAGGGACCATGTAACTACCCTTAGAGTGAAGGGTTTAGGCTTTACAAGGTTGAGGGTTCAGGGTTTATGGGGTTTAGGGTAATTATATGGGGTTGAGGGTTTCGGCCTTTGGGGTGCCCTATGATGGCATTTTCTTCCCATATGAACAGGCAAGCGGACAAATGAGCAGGTAAGTGTGAGTAGCATATAAATGCTCAAGTGTATCTATGTATAGAACTATATAAGATTAAAAAAACAAAATGTGCATCTTTCAGTTGTTGTGCAAGGACACAAGACAAAATGGTACACGTATCAAAATGGGGCCCACGTAACCCTAAACCCTAAACCCTAAACCCTAAAACCCAAACCCCAAACCCCAAACCCCAAACCCCAAACCCCAAACCCCAAACCCCAAACCCTAAACCCTAAACCCTAAACCCTAAACCCTAAACCCGAAACCCTAAACCCTAAACCCTAAAGCCTAAACCCTAAACCCGAAACCCTAGCCCCCACGAGGTGATCGACTTCACTTTCATCTACAGGCAGGGCTTCTCGGAGGCCATCTTCAAATGCCTAGGGCAGCACTGCCCGGAGATTGAGGCCGTGTATGGCTACTGGGTTGTGCTTGGGGAGAGTTTTTTTACATGTCCCTTCTTCCCTGATTAGGGGGAACCTATTCATAGATAGTTTTCAAAGGGTTTCGAGCACAACCCAGGCTATCGCACAATTCTGCCCGAAGAAGCAGTTCTGGCAGACTTCCTCTCTCGCAGCCGGAACCTTGCGCACCTGGAAGTTTCGGGCATCGCCGGGCCCGAAGCGATTCTGAGAATGGCCGAGCTCCCCTCGTTGAGGTCACTGCGCCTGGAGCTCTTCTCTTCAGGCCCAGAGATGATGGAAGCTGTGTGTCGCCTCAAGGTCGGGACATTGTTCCTGGAGTTTACGAATAAGGCCGTGGACCAAGACGGAGATGTGGTGGGCCTCTGTGGCAACGCGCAGAGCCTCGCGACGTCCTTTGGTAGCTCTCCTTCGACATGCCTCTCGCTCACCGTTTGTGCAGTGGACCCTCCGGTGCTTCAAGCCGTGGGCTCCCGTTTGCATGGGCTGGGGCCGGTCAGGTCCCACAGCTCAGGGCACTCCATCCTGGGCGCGCTCGCGCAAGCTCCGAGCTGCTGTGTGAATCTTGAGCGTCTGAGCATCAACTACTTCGAGCAGATTGAGGCAGGCACCCTGGCTACGGTGGCTGGGCTGTGTCCCCTGTTGAAGCATCTGCGGCTGAATGCCGACGAGCTGTGCTTTCAAAAGACGCCCATTGACGAGGGGGTCTTGGCTCTTGGCCGCCACTGCAGCAGGCTGGAACATGTAGACCCCTGGCCAGCAGTGCTTCCCTGACTTTCATGGCTTTATTGCTGTTCATACCTGACCCCAAGCCCCAAACAAATATAAACCCCAAACCTCAAACAAACCCCAACCCTAAACCCTAAACCCTAAACCCTAAACCCTAAACCCTAAACCCTAAACCCTGAACCCTCCCCCGAAACCCCAAAACCCAAACCCTTAACCCTGAACCCCAACCCCCAAATCCTAAAACCAGCCCCAAACCCTAAGCCAAAACCCTGAACCCACTCTTGCAGCGCACCTCAACCCTAAGCCCTAAGCCCTAAACCCTAAACCCTACACCCTAAACCTCTCTTACCTATGCATATTTCAACCCTAATGGAGTTCATGGGCACTTGTCATATCTCTGTGGGCAAAGGTCACAAGCAGGGTTGGTCTCGGGTTTGGGGCATAAGGCCGAGGTTTTGGGGCATAGGATGCAGGGGCCCTTGGCCCTAGCTTTTGGGGCCCGGGTGTTTAGGGTTTAGGGTTTAGGGTTTCGGGTTTAGGGTTTAGGGTTTAGGGCCCTGGGGTCGGGTTTGTAGGGCTTTAGGGCTTGGGGCGTAGGATTAAGGCCCCAGGGTTTGGGGCATCGTGTTCAGGGCCCTATTTGTTTTTTTGGTGTGTGCCCCTAAGATTTCTGCGTTGAATGAACTTTTTCTTTTCTTAATGCTATGGGGTTTTTGAAATGCTCGATAAATTGCGTGACTAGTGAATCCTTGGACTTGAGATGCTGAACCTAAGCCCGACCCTCAACCCTTAAAACCCCCTAAGCGCCCGAAGCTCCCTAAACTCCCCAAACTCCCTAAACTCCCCAAACTCCCTAAACCCTAAACTCCCTAAACCCTAAACTCCCTAAACCCTAAACTCCCTAAACCCTAAACCCTAAACCCTAAACTCCCTAAACCCTAAACTCCCTAAACCCTAAACCCTAAACCCTAAACCCTAAACCCTAAACCCTAAACCCTAAACCCTAAACTCCTAAACCCTAAACTCCCTAAACCCTCATGCCGCCGAGGACCTCTACGACCGGTACCTGGAGGATCCCGCAACGACGCTTTCCACGGCGGTGGCTGGGTGGCCCGGCCTCCGCTGCTCGGCTGCTGCCTAAGCAAAGGCTAGGGTTTGGGGTTTAGGGCTTAGGGTTTTGGGATTTAGGGTTTAGGGCTTAGGGTTTTGGGGTTTAGGGTTTAGGGTTTAGGGTTTAGGGTTTTTGGGTTTTGGGGTTAAGGGGTTAAGGGTGTGGGTTGTAGGCTTTAGGGTTTAGGGGTTCAGGGGCTTCGGGGTTTAGGGGGTTTGGGGTTGGGGGGTTGGGCATCATGTTTTTTGGGGTTAAGGGCTTCGAGTTTGGTTTTTGGCGGAGAATGGATATATATATATATATATATCATGCATAGTAGACTAGTATGGAAACACCGTTGGGGAGGCATGTGTAGAGTTGCAGTAATACGGAAATGTAGCCAGTCACAGGTCTCTTTATCCTAAACTCCAAACCCCAAACCCTAAACCCATGGATATCTTAAATTCAGTACAGCAGCTCGCACACCAGGCTACTTGTGTGTTGGTGGCACCACTGTGAAGCGCTGGGAAGCTACTTTGACTGGGTCCAGAGGTTTTACATCAAGGACTTATCGCGTTGAAGATGGCCTTTTTGGGGGCGTTAGGGGGGTTTGTAGGGCTGATCGGGATCATGTAGGGTTGAGAAGGTTATGTAGGGCTTGTAGGCTTAGGGTTTAGAGGACTTCGGTTTGGTATGAGTGACGTCAGCTGAGGTGGTCGATCCAGATGCCAAGATCGTGCGCGCGCTGGCAGCTTCTTGCCCCTGTCTCCAGGACCTAGGCTTAACGATCCCTAAATAGCCTTAATTATGGGGGGAACTCAGGGCGGGGGGTAGTATAGAGGGGGGTAGTAGGGGAACCCTAAACCCTAAACCCTAAACCCTAAACCCTAAACCCGAAACCCCAAACCCTAAACCCTAAACCCTAAACCCATGACAGGAGGCTGTCTTCATACACGACACTCCTGAAGACTGGTCGACGAGACTGAAGGAAGCTTGCCCTCTGTATGGAGCTTCATGGGTGCGGCTGCCTAACACTAAACCCTAAAGCCTAACCCCTAAACCCTAAACCCTAACCCTGAACCCTACCCTAAACCCTAAGCCCTAAGCCCTAAGCCCTAAACCCTAAACCGTTTCCTAAACCCTAAATACTAAACCCTAAACCCTTAACCGGGTAGATGAGTAGACTTTGACAACGAGAGTCGGTGACCCTCACGCTGGGCAGGCGCAAAAGCTGGATATGCTCTTGCGGAAGTTGGGAAATAGCTGCCCTAAGAAGGAAGCCAGGATTCTTTTTACTACACATCCCTATTGTGGTATCTGTGTTTAGTTCCCCAAATTTAGCCACCCAGAAAGCCGCCTTGGCCTGCTGTTGCTGTTCCGGTGTGATATATCACGAAGCCAGGAGGAAACTTTCGACCCTGAACTCCGAATCCTACAAACCTTGGACACGCACCCTTGGTGCCCAGGCGAATTCGAAGGAAGCTCGCCCAGATTCATGCTTCGAGACCACGGATGCCTTCTGCAAACCCTATTTGAACCTCTATGAGCTCTGTACGCAGCCCGATAGCCGCTATACGCCCCATAAGTACTATAGACTCTTGAAGTTCTGAATCACCCTAGAATCCCACTTTACACAAGTCAGCTACTGCTGGCAAAAAACCCTCAGCAATTACCAAGGCTAGGGATGACCTCGCAGGGTCATCTATACAAACGCATTCATGACTGCATGTCAACCCCAAAACCTCAAGATCCTACATACCCATCTGCGTGTGTGGGTTTAGGGTTCAAGGTTTAGGGTTTTAGGGTTGAGGGTTTAGGGTTTAGGGGAAGCTCAGAAGCCCCCCCATGCTCTTCGCCGCCCACCGAACCAGCTTCCAGCAGTTGCTTCGGCTCCAGCGGCCCTTCGCCCTATCCGTTTAGGGTTTAGGGTTTAGGGTTTAGGGTTTAGGGTTTAGGGTTTAGGGTTTAGGGTTGAGCGTTTAGGGTTTAGTGTTACTGTACTTCAATCTTGTCCATGGATAGCCTGCTGCTGTCCTGGGCAGGTGCAAAGCAGGGAGGGGAGCGCAGTTTGTCACGGTGCAGATTCTACGACGAGTGAACTACTGGTCGTAGCAATTGTGCGCGGGTCTCCTGTGTCGGCGTGACCGCTTTTCTCTTGTGCGTTGGTTCCGGACATTACCCCGTGACGTAAGTTTCCGGACCAGTGGAAATGTTGTTGGCAGACGTGCCCCCCAAAGCCCCCAAAGCCCCCAAAGCCCCCAAAGCCCCCAAAGCCCCCCAAAGCCCCCAAAGAAGAAAACCGATCTTAGGACTGGGTTGCTGCGTATTCTTCAGATCTGGATGCCCTGCTTCCAAGCGTGAAGTGTCTTGCCAGGTGGCGACCCGTGCGCACAGGCCGCACAACACGTGCAGGCCGGCGTTGCTGCCCGGGCTCTCCTGAAAATCCAGCATGGCAGATGTGGGGGTTTCCGAAAGTAGGGGTGCCTTATTGGGGTCCTTCTTATAAATGGGAATCCTACTATTCGGGGGTCTTCTTAGGGGTCCCTGATTTCGTAAACCCCCATGTGTGTGCAGACCAGCAAGACGTGCACCTTCGAAGGGCGTTCGCTTTCAGCCAGAAAGGGCATGACATTCTTGACCGTAAACCCTAGACCCTGAAAACCCAAGCCCTGAAAACCCTTAAACCTCAAAACCCCGAAGACCTAACACCCTGAATGTACCCTTAAATTTCCCAAAGCCCTAAACCCTAAACCCTAAACCCTAAACCCTAAACCCTAAACCCTAAACCCTAAACCCTAAGCCCTAAACCCTAAACCCTAAACCCTAAACCCTAAACCAGGCTTGGCTTCGGTGGTGCGCCCCCAGCAGCAGCAGGCCATTGGGGGTGTCCGAACATGAAGGGTTTAGGCTTTATAGGGTTTAGGGTTTAGGGTTTAGGGTTTAGGGTTTAGGGTTTAGGGTTTGGGGTTTGGGGTTTAGGGTTTAGGAGCTTTAGGGTTTGGGTGTTAGGGTTGCGGGTTTTGTTTTAGGGCATCAAGTTTGGGGAGCTCCTCCAGGTTGGTGACTGTATTAGGCAAGGCACGTGCACAAGCTTCGTGATTCCTGCCCGAAACCATCCTAAACCCTCGGCCCTATCCTGTGAATGATCCCCGAACCACAGCACATTTTGGGGACCCCGTTGTGTCTGCTCCGCAGCACATCGGGGAAACCACTATAGAACGCCATGGCCTGTTCACCATTCTGGCTCAAGGCTCAAGTAACCCTCAAGAGTGTAGTTCACCCGTAGGTTATAGGTAAGCGCAATAGCGTAACTGGAAACTGCCCGGGTGCACGAGACAACGACTGGAGGCGAGCGCCAGTGCAGAAAACAAGTGCGAGACCGATTGGCTGGTGAGGAGCCAGAGCGTAGTGCAAGCAACTACCCGACCTCACGCAGGTTATTAGCCGTATAGCGGCTGCAATCTTTTGCGACTACTATACGAGTTGAGCTATGGCACTGCCAACCTCGTCGTCAAGTGCCGACACAACCATGACCTTCGGTGATGGTGATGCCATTGCCGCACCTGCGTTGGGCGATAGCACAGGCTGCGCCGAGACAGATGCGATCACATCATCAGATGACGCCGTTGAGATGGTCGCGGTTGCAAAAGCACCCGCTCGAAATAGAAGTGGATTGAGTGTACTGCGTGAAGACGGGAACTCGAAGATGAGTCAAGTTACACGCCTCAGATCCACTTCCAGACAATCATCGGAACGAACATCAAAGAGATCCAACACTCCAAGTACTCCACGACGAAGAAGAGGTAATTCTCCACGGATCTCTCCACGATCCTCGCCGGACGCCGGACGACCGGAAACGTCACCGCGAAGAGGGTACGGTGGCCCTCTTTTGGGTACCGGCCTCCCCAGTTCGGAACCTCCGACTGGCGGTAGGAGCGGGCTTGATTCGGGTCCCCCGGTTGAGTCTGCTAACCCTCTAGCGGAACGAATCCGGGAAGAAGGCGAAAGGCGAAAGATGGAAGAGGTCATAACCGTGTTGCGACAGAAGATCGAGGAGATGCAACAGGAAGACTATGGGGCATCACTCAGAATTGAGCAGCTAGAACGTGAACGTGATCAGAACGCGCAACTGGCAGCTCATATCCATCAACGCCACGAAGCTGCACTTGCTGAACGTGAGCAAGTCGTGGGTGTCACGATTGCGACATTGGAACAACATGCTGCCGACAATCATCACCAAGCGACGATGACTCAGGAGCAATTGATGCATCAGCAACGCGAGATGGCGCAGTACATGGTCAACGTGGAAGAAGCGGCTCACGGTGAAGGAAACACGATAGCTCGAGAATATCAACGACTTACCGAGGAGCTGAACATTCGAGCGCATGAAAATCTGAGAAGGCGAGCCGATCTACAGCAAGCTGAAGTCATTGTGGCTCAGATGGAAGATCAACTGCGAGCATCCGAGTTTGCGCGCGAGGCATCCGAAAAGCAGAAGAGTGAAATGCAAGAATACGCTCATCATGAGAGTGTGGCATTGCAGGATGAGCGCGATCAAACAAGGCTTTTGAGCGTGAACATCCATGGCTTCATCGCTCAGTATCACGAGGAAGAAGAAAGGACGGCTGCTCTGAGGCAAGCTGTGCACGAGATGGAGCAGCGATGGGAAAGCCAACATGCTTCGTTGCCCAGCATCCATGGGGAGCTGCAAAGGGTACGAGCTGAATGCCAATCTCATGAGGACGTCAATCGAAGACTGGCGTCAGAATTGGATGCTGCAAGACAGGTTCAAGCCTACAACCGACCTACGTCAGCCGGAACGTCTGAGTGGGATAATGTTTCTTCTGTGCCTAGGGTAGGTGTACATAATTCGCGTCCACAAAGCGTTCAATCCCGTTCAGGAATAACCCAAGCTTACAGCAGTCCTGAGGAAGTTGATCACGACGTGCCAAAGTCATCTGCAACGGAATCGAGGTTCAAGACATGGGTCCAGAACACCATGCCTGGGATGGGTTCGGCTTCGCCGGCTCATACCCAGGGTGGAACCGCCTCAAAGGAGGGTTCGGGTCCCCCGGCTCTTCCCACGAGGCCATCGTTGTTCGGAGCATTCGTGCTGGTGGGTGATAGGGAAGGCGATTCGTTGGATGATCGAAACGAGAGGAAAGCACGCCTTGCGCTGGAGTGCAATGTCAACATTGACACCGACTATGCAGCGTGCGTGGACCGTAACTTCAGGCTGTGCTGTCACCTCGATGCCTTCTTCGCGTATGTGCTGGTCCAGAAGTGGAATCTGTTCGAGAAGATCATCATGACTCCGTATAAGAAGATGAAAGATCAGTTTGCCTCGGGCATGAGACACGACGCGTCTGGGACTTGGCCCGTTGTCCCCATTGACGAGGATACGGCGTTGCCAAGAGACCTCATGGAGGACGAGGTAAGGCAGTACGCCAGCACCGTGGAGAACCAACAGTTCATGGTGGAACGATACCACGCCAACAAGTTCGTCTTCTACGTCATGCGTGGAGCAATCCAGCTGGGGTACAACAAGGAGAGCTTCAACCTTCCAACAATTCCTGATGAAGCAGTGGACCAGAAGGCATTTGCCGAAGCAGGGCAAAGGGTCCATATGTTCATGGCAAAGATCATCTATCAAGTCTTGAACGTGAGGCTCTACTCGTACACAAAGCCCAATGCTGAGATCCCGTATCACGCAGCATTCAAGTATATCAATCCGATCCAATTGCTCAGCTTGATGGATTCACAGAAGGTGAGTGTCAATAACCTTCTGGTGATGAGGGACTCAGGGTGCGCTCTGCCTAACCAGTACAGCAAGAAACTGGATAGATGGCTGAGTGACCAGAAGAAGGACATGAGCATCCTGAAATTGAAGCCCACTCAGTACCTGGAGAATCCAAGTACGTCGGCTTTGTACATTGCGAATGATCCGTCAATTTCCGCACCTTCGGTGACCTCATCAGGTGGATCACGTCATCCTGAGGCAGACGAGACGGACATGCCGGCCCGAGCGAAGGCCCGCATGAGTCAGCCGACGCCGAAGACCTCCCAGTCTGGGACCTCTCAAGCTGCTTCCAAAGGTCAGACGAGAAAGGGATCTGGAAAGAAAGGGTGATTGATGTACTCGGAACCTCCGGTATGTCATCCCCTGGAATCCATGGCATTCCCGAACATCTGGTTGTGGGCCAGCGCTATGCGTTTTCTGTTTTGATTCCTATTTTCCTTGCAGATGCAACAGATGACACAATGGAGCACGTCATTATATCCTCCGATGCTATTTCCCTTTTCGGCCACTGCATAGCAGCAGCGGGGCAATGTGCCAATGCGCCCGCTGGAGGGAAATGTGCGGTTCTTTGCAGCTCGGATGGTTGACTGACACCGCTGTGTATCTTTCTTACATCATGGAGACGCAATATGCTGGATCCAAGCTTTTGCGGATATGTTTTCTCAGGGCCTTTCGCGCCCATGATTCCACAACAGCGAGCAGCTGGTCTTTGTACAGCCAAAGGATGGGATTGAACGCTTCGGTAGCTGAAAGTTTGTCTCACAACAATCAATTCGGGCAAAGAAAGCGAAACAATGGAGAACGGCCAAGCCTTAAGTTGCTTTTAACTGGGACCATTGTGTGTTCGTAACGCAATTCGTCTAGCATTTTGCAAATCCCAGCCGTGGGGGGTGTGAATGATCCCCGAACCACAGCACATTTTGGGGACCCCGTTGTGTCTGCTCCGCAGCACATCGGGGAAACCACTATAGAACGCCATGGCCTGTTCACCATTCTGGCTCAAGGCTCAAGTAACCCTCAAGAGTGTAGTTCACCCGTAGGTTATAGGTAAGCGCAATAGCGTAACTGGAAACTGCCCGGGTGCACGAGACAACTACTGGAGGCGAGCGCCAGTGCAGAAAACAAGTGCGAGACCGATTGGCTGGTGAGGAGCCAGAGCGTAGTGCAAGCAACTACCCGACCTCACGCATATCCACTAAAACCCTAAACCATAAACCCTCACATTGGGCTTAGAGTTTGGCCAGGCAACAGCGACTGCGTCTGCTCCTGTGCTGGATTCAGAACATTTCTTGCTCTTCTTGACAGCATCTGGGTAGTTCTCTAAATCAGGTTCCCTGTTTTGGGTCCCCCTATAATATAGCGGCGGTACCCTTAGAAAGCAGCACCCCCCCCCCCCCCCCCCACAAAAAAAAAAAACACCTCCAAACGTGCCGACCATCCTCAGCTTTGGCGGAAGTGTCTTAACATGTCTTTACCAAATCGTAGTTGTTCGGCGCGGATGCCTGTGTATTTATATCGAGAAGTTCGGACGCATACCCCTGCGTCCTACGTGGAGTCACGCTTTGTGGATGTCACCCGGGGATCCGAGGTCGGGTTGCAGGTGGCTGCCGCCGGGTGGGGGCCGTAAGCCTTAACTTTTGAGCCTTAAGGTTCAGGGTTAGTGTCTTAGGGTTAGTGTTGTAGGGTTTAGGGAAAGGGCGAAGAATCCCTATAGGCAGTTCTGACCAGGCCGTTGCAGAACAGCAGTCATGGATGCTGCCAGGACACCCGCTGCATGAGGGTGCCAGCATGAGGGTGCCAGGCTACCCTGATGCTCAGTAGGATGATCTGTGCTTTGCGTACTGGTTTTTTGGTACTGTGTGGAATTAGGGAAACCGGGAATTCCATATATAGAAGCAGTCACGAAAAGACAGACCGTGGCCCTAGAGCTAGCACGCCGTGCACTTGCACGGGCCCGAAAAACCCGAAAAACCGAGGGGGGGTTTGAAGCTAGGCCTTTCAAGTGTTAGTAGCTATATCTTTTTTGGGAATCATTCTTGATTTCTGTTTATATAAAACCCAAGAGGATATTAAAAATAGAGCAGCTGTTGGCAAGCGTACATGCCTCCTCTGGGTTCTCGGCTTCTGCAGGATATGGCAGCCTGTACGTCTACTGCTGGCTTTCCCAGCGGAATGCGGCCTGTATGCAAATGGTGTCCCGCGACGGTCTCTCGATTTGCTTCCCCAGCTTGCTGCGTGGCGTTGCCCTCCTTTGTAAGTAGGAAGTATTCCAGATATTTTTAGCGTCCTCTGGTGCTGACGAGCGCGAAACGTGCAACATGCTGCCGTGAAGTTACGCAAGGTCCCCCGCTGCTGTGTTACGCCTGCGAGCTTTGTGTGCAGTGAACCCTAAACTGGACAATTTTGGGGGGGTTTATGAGAATAAGGGAACCCTACAATAGAGCCCCCAAATAGTAGGAGTACCTTATAATAGAAACCCCAAGACGGTACCCACATTTTCGAAAGCCCCCATTTGTTGGTTACAGGCCAGCTTCCGAAGTTCCAATGCGAGCTTCTGATTCCAGCCGTGCCCTGCTCAGAGCGAAGGACTTGGGTGGTTCAGGGTACTTGGAGGCCCACTTGTAACTGTACTTATAAGCCACTCATAAGCCTTAGGTGCCCTAATGTGGGTATAAGTACAATGAACCTCCAAGTAAGGGCTTAAGGTAAGCACCCGAAATCCTTGGTGGTGATTCTACACTGCTAGACATGATGGTTCCAGAGAATCATATCCAATGTTTTCATGATTCATCTGTTACTGCCCCCACAACCCTAAACCCTAAAACCTAAGTCCACAAATGTCATTCGCCACCGTGGGTGTGATGGAAATTCGTGTCGGAAGGCCCGAGCCTGCTTGTCTGTACGGTTACGAGAAGCCCGTCTCCTTCCTTGGGTTCAGTGTTTTGGCTCTCGGGTTTAAGTGCACTGCACCATGTTCGTTGGTTTTGAGACCCCGAGGTTGCATGTCACACACACACACAAGCAGCCCAAACAAATGGCCACCGATGGTGCAAATGTGTCACGTGCGAGTTGAAGATGGTAGTAGTCATGATGCCGGCAGTGGTCGTAGCATGTGAGGCAGGGTTTGTACTACTGTGGTTGGTGAGTGTGTGTATACATACAGGTGTTGACTCCTCATTAATACTGGTCAGTGTACGGATTGGGGTGTCCTTGTGGGGATACTTGCAAGAAAACCTACCTCATAGTAGCGCATGGAGGAGACCTTCAGCGCAGCTGCTGGCGGCACTTGCAGCGCGGTGGTCTCTGCAACTGAGGACGGCGCGAGCTAAACCCTAAACCCTAAACCCTAAACCCTAAACCCTAAACCCTAAACCCTAAACCCTAAACCCTAAATCCCTAAACCCTAAACCCTAAATCCCTAAACCCTAATCCCTAAACCCTGAACCCTAAACCCTAAACCCTAAGCCCTAAGCCCTAAGCCCTAAACCCTCAACCCTCAACCCTCAACCCTAAACCCTAACCCTAAACCCTAAACCCTCAACCCTCAACCCTAAACCCTAAACCCTAAATCCTAAACCCTAAACCCTAAACCCTAAACCCTAAACCCTAAACCCAGTGCATGTTTCCTCATGCCCTCTGCAGCAGGCGCTTGACGAGTTCTACGGCCGTGCGCCCTCCCTGGAGGCGGAGCTACACCACCGAGCTGGCTTGAACCCTGAGCCCTAAACCCTAAACCCTAAACCCTAAACCCTAAACCCTAAACCCTAAACCCTAAACCCGAAACCCTAAACCCGAAACCCTCAAAATTGGTAGAAATTGGTGTGAGCACATGCGAACACCGAGTGCCATCTCCGAGCCTGCTGTCAGCAATGAACTCGTGGTCATCTTCATAGCACATCTCGAGCAGACAGCCTCTAAGGGTAGTTTCCTCAAAGTTTAGGGTTTAGGGTTTAGGGTTTAGGGTTTAGGGTTTAGGGTTTAGGGTTTGGGGTTGGGCGGACTCTAAGGGTAGTTACATGGGCCCTGAATATGGTCCCTTACCTCCTGTTAAAGGGTTCTGAAGTATGGACCCTTGTGTTTTATTTACAACAGGGGCCCCCTTTCAAGGGCTCCTATCAAGGGACCATGTAACTACCCTAAGACAGCCTTTCGTCCTTTGTGGTTAACATGTGGTGCTTTCTCGAAAGTATCCGTTTTGAGGTCCTGATTATAAGGCGGCCCCTCTTATTCAGGGTGCCCAAGAAAGCGACGGATCAGAAGTGATAGTATGCATTGGCATACTTGGAGGTTCATGGTGCTTATTAACCAGTTATAACTGCACTTATAGCTGCACTTGTAACCATGCTAGGGCACTTCAGGGGCTTATAAGTGTGTTAAAAGTACAGTTATAACTGGTTAATAAGTACCATGAACCTCCAAGCACATCTTGGGTGCTTGGGGGAGGCTTCCCGGATCCTACCAAACCCCAGCCCATTCCCCTTCCGAAAGCCTCCGGAACCTTAAGCTTTGATTGAGCCCTAAACGCCAAATTCTTAACCCTAACCCTAAACTAAACCCCAAGCCCCAAAACCTAAACCTTAAATCCTAAACCCTAAAGAAGACAGGCCCGGAAGCCACCGTGCAAAGCCGCGATGGCTGAGGCAGTTTCTTTGATGGGAGTCAGGGGCCCGCGGATGGGGGGTCATGTAGGGCAATGCAGGGTTCAGGGTTTAGGGTTTGGGGCTTGGGGTTTAGGGTGCTCTGGAGGACCCGGGTGTCAGTGTCTAGGGTTTCGTTTGTGCGGATTGCGCCGCTTTCGAAGACAGGCCTATAAAGCCTCAACCCTATGGGTAGATGAACAAAAATAGGGGGCACAGAAGGGTTCCCCAACTAAGGGCCCACCATGTAACGGGGTGGGCTGGGGTGGGGTCGGGTGGGTTGGGGTGGGGAGGGGAGGAGTAAAAGGCACCTTGATTTCCGAATTCGGGATTGCGAACTGGTAATCCTTGCGCATGCAGAAAGCAACCTTGAATCCCAAAATCAAAAACATGTGCTCAATCTTCTCAGGTCCCCAAACCATCCTAGGCCCCCAGCCCTGAACCCCAATTCCTGTGCTCTGAACCGTAAACCCTAAACCCTAAACCCTAAACCCTAAACCCTAAACCCTAAACCCTAAACCCTGAACCCTGAACCCTAAACCCTAAACCCTAAACCCTAAACCCTAAACCCTGATCCTAAGTCCGGACCTGGTCAATCATGAGGCGGGACGCCTAAAAAATCGAAAAGCCGCAATCTAAACGCTGTAATCAGCGCGAGTACAAGGACGACAGAGCTGAATGGCAGATGCTGGTCGTGCGGCTGGAGTGTGGCCTCTCGGATCTATGCGAAAATCAGGTTTTAAGATTCAGGATTCACATTAAGAATCTTAATAATAATACAATTATTCGTATTGCCAACAGTATGGTCAATATAGTTCATATTATTAATATTGTTCATATGACTACTATGGTCAATAGTATTAGATATTATCAGTATTATTTGAAAGGTCAACGGGCTCAGAGTTTGCCTTGCAAGACGGCTCAACATGTCGAATTTCGAGGCAGTTCCGAAGCAGGAAAGTTAAAGTGTGCAACCAGGGTCGCATTTAGGGTTTAGGGTTTAGGGTTTAGGGTTTAGGGTTTAGGGTTTAGGCACTTCCAGGTGTGCGGGGAGCGCAGGCCACGCCTCAAACCCCAAAGGTTGCAATCCCAGGCACACTCCCGAGAAGCTCCATGAAAAAGCCCAACAAACCGACTGCCACAGCTGCACGAAACGTAAGGCCTTACACGCCCAGGCAAAGGCCGCATCAAGTTTAAACCCTCGGGACCCCTAAACCCTACCTGCGGCACAAACCCTAAACCCTAAACCCTAAACCCTAAACCCCAAACCCCAAACCCCAAACCCTAAACCCATCAAGCCTGGTTCCAGGCATGCGCTTCCTCCAGGATGAGCTGCGGCGGGAACGCCAGAAGCGGCGTGAGGCGGCATGAGTTGAAGACGTGTCAACCCGCATATGGAAGCGTGGCTCCTGCAGTATTGACCTGACGTATCTGCATGCTGGAGGCTCCTAAGCCTTAATCCTTAAACCCGTAAAGCCCCTTAAGTTGCCCTAATATGGTCATAAGTACAGTTATGATTGGTTCATAGGTGCCATGAACCTCCAAGTAACCCTGTTGCACTTTGCGAAACCCCTTGCAATCTGAAGTGCAAACGACGGATGGCTTCCGGCACCGAAACCTCCAAGCCCCAAACAACTACCCACGCAAACAGCTACTTAACGGTTTAGGGTTTAGGGTTCAGGGTTTAGGGTTTAGGGAACCTCTAAACCCTAGACAGGTTCCTGGTGATGACCCTTCGAGAGATCCAGCATATGGGAACCTGTATGGTCCGACGTCTGGCGTCTCCAAGCCCCACCCCTCCTCCCCGAAGTACCCTCCATACGGTTTAGGGTTTAGGGTTTAGGGTAGATGGCTTCTCAGGGAACCGGAAAACCCACACCCCGCACCGCGGGGGACGAGGGGGGGGATCCTTGGACCATACGTGGGGAAGAGGGGCATCCAAAACCCGAAACGGCTAAGAGCCAGCAAGTCCACCCTTGCCTAAACCCTAAACCCTAAACCCTAAACCCTAAACCCTAAACCCCAAACCCCAAACCCTAAACCCTAAACCCTTAAACCCTAAACCCTAAACCTTCCCATGAGGCGGATGCCTGTTGCGAGAGCTTGCGCCTGGACTTGCTCTTCGTAGCGGGTCGAGGGTGGAGGTAGGATTTGCGGGGGGTTGGAAGCTAAGGCGCAGGAGGGTCAGGGCCTATTCGGGGTTTGTTTCAGGGGTTTCAGGGTGTTGGGGTTCGGTGGTTGGGGGGGGGTGGGTCGGTCGGATGAGGATTCTTTTGGGGGGTTGGGGGTTTCAGGTTTGGGGCTTGGAGCTGAACTCGGCTTCTGGGTTTGGATGGGTGGGTCGCGAGTGGGTCGCGTGGACTTTTTGAGGCGAGAGTCCAGGGATGAGGGATTGCGGGTGGGATAGCGAGACTGGTCCGAAGGATAGTTTCAACTTCAACGCTTGTTCAGCTTTTGAGAATGGTAAGCGCTCGAGTCCTTGTTGTCATGCAGTGGCAAGCAGAACGGATTCTTTCCAATTGGCGGTTCTCGCCTGGCAGGGGGAGTCCAAGCGATGCTTTGTTCACAGGGTCACATCTGCGATATCACTCGGTCGAAGGGTTTTGCAAACGTCGGGAGCTTAGGGGGCCACTGGACCAGAAAAGTACCCATCTGATGCTCATGATGCTCGCCTCCCGCCTCGTCACATCTGCGCAATCACTCGGTCGAAGGGTTTTGCAAACGTCGGGAGCTTAGGGGGCCACTGGACCAGAAAAGTACCCATCTGATGCTCATGATGCTCGCCTTCCGCCTCGTCACATCTGCGCAATCACTCGGTCGAGGGTTTTGCAAACGTTGGGTGCTTAGGGGGCCACTGGACCAGAAAAGTACCCAGCTGATGCTCATGATGCTCGCCTCCCGCCTCGTCACATCTGCACAATCACTTTGTCGAAGTGTTTTGCAAACATCGGGAGCTTAGGGGGCGTAGGCCATTGTTTTTTTATTTTTATTTTCCCTTGTGGATTTTTTTCAGAGGGTTTTTGTGGGCCATCCTAGTTGAAGATTCTAAGTGTTCTCGGGGTCGTCAGTCCTCAGGCACTGTAATCTCTGCAATGCACTTCCAAGCCGCTAAGGAACACCGAGCCCTCCGGCTTGAAACGCCAAGCGCAAGATCTACAAGCTCAGCTGCCTGACTGCAACCGAATCAATGCCCAATATAGGGGCCTGAATAATTAGAAAAAGGGTTTTGGGGGTGTGTAAAAGTAAAGCTGCAGAGGGACCATAGGGCAGTATTATTCGTAATTTTCCCGACCCCAAGATTACATGGCCTCCGGTCAATGTTTTGATGATTCAGGCATGATGCTTCCTAGACCCTAAACCCTAGTGTTTGACTTGGGGCGCTGAGGTGCAACGACTTGCGGCAGCTCAGCGATAAGCTCACGGAGGAGATCGCCCTACTGCAAAAAGAGCGTTCCGGCAGACAGGGCTAAAAAACCCTAATAATATTGGGTTTCCGAAAATAGGCCTAAACCTTAAACCCTGTCGTCCTGTAGACTTAACCTAGGAGCCTTGGAACCCTAGACCAGCAAAACTTTCCATCTAAACTGTAGAAACAAGACTGGGAGAGACAGAGAGAGACAGAAGCAGAGAGACAGAAGCAGAGAGACTCGTCTTCGGACCTTCGGCTTGTCTTTGTGCATCCTAAACGGGCATTTCCCAAAATAGGGGTACCCCTTTCTACCCCAGATAGAACATAATCTCTTAAAGGGACACCCCAAAAAGAGTACCCCCTATTGTAGGAACCCCCAAATCCTGAGCCTTAAACCCTAAACCCTAAACCCCATTGCAGGAACCCCCAGATCCTGAGCCCTAGCTAAGCCCCAAAACCCGAAACCAAGGATGGAAGATCTACAGCCGAAGGCGCCACCTACGGGAAAGTCTGGATGGCAGGTTAAGAGAGTTTAGGATTTAGGGTTTAGGGTTTAGGGTTCAGGGTTCAGGGTTTAGGGTTTTGGGCACCCCTGGGTCTGCGCATGAGGGATTTTGGGCCTGCCTCGGTGTAGATGTGAGGCTTCTCAGGGACTCACCGGGGGGGGGGGGTGGGCGGCAAGCACGAAAGGTTCGATGGTGCTCTTGGCATCTCTTCGATTTCTGCAGACAGAATAGCTGAATTGAACGGTCCTTTTCTACCGGTATGCCCTTGCTTCAGGAGCCTCCCCAACCACCTTCAGCGGCGTATCCGGAGGATCACAGCAGTATTTAGTTTTTGTTTGCAAGATGACTACAGATCACCATTGTTTGCAAGCAGTTGAGCGATGTGCCATGCAAGAGGGGGACTTTGCAGGATTCCGACACTGCATTGGGGCCGTACCCGCTCCCGCTGCACCTTGGCCATGTAATATAGGGTTGGAATAATTACACTAATAATATTCCTTTATGGTTCCTTTATAACTATACTATAATGCCCCCCCCCCCCCAACCCTAGTCGAATTCTTAAGGCCCCTATATGAGAGATGACCGCTGCGTCGCATCATGTCGCATCCTGGCAAGCGAGTGCGCAATGCGGCGCTCTCAGGTCTGTGCTGCTGGAATACCTGACTGCCGCTTGGTCGAACATAAAGTCCCAAACATGTCTTCCGAACTCCTACGCCCTGTAGACTTCCTAAATCCTGGACCCTAGAGTCTAAACCCTAAACCCTCAAGCTCCTAAACCTTACACCCTGAACCCTAAGCCCTAAAGCCCTAAAGCCCCTAAACCCTCCCCTAAACCCTGAACCCAAAAGCAGTCCGCAAAGGGCTTCACGGGCCTGACTTGCACTTACTTAGTGCCAACAGTTGAACTTTAAAGTTTTTGGTTTTCCTATGTTTAGTGGGGGAACTCATTCGTTTAACCTTTCTTTCCGTTGGTTATTGGAGAAGCCCTAAACCCTCAACCGGCCCTGAACCCCAAACCCCAAACTCTAAACCCTAAACCCCATACCCCAAACCCTAAACCCTAAACCCTAAACCCTAAACTCCCTAAACCCTAAACCCTAAACCCTAAACCCTAAACCCTAAACCCTAAACCAAGTAAGTGCAGGTGTCGGACATGGTCAACTGGCGGGTGACTTCCTGGCAGGCAAAGGATCCCAAGGCTGGGAGCAGGGTTTATAGGGTTTAGGGTTTAGGGTTTAGGGTTTAGGGTTTGGGGTTTGGGGTTTGGGGTTTAGGGTCGAGTGGGTTCCGGGTTTGGGGTCTATAGGGTTTCTGTGAAATTGACAGCGACGCTGAAGGACATGATCTGTAGATGGTCTTCTCTAAGCCTTCATACCCTACATCCCCAACCCTTAAAACCCTTGACTCTAAACCCTAAACCCTAAACCCCAAACCCCAAACCCTGAACCCTAAACCCTAAACCTAAACCCTAAACCCTAAACCCGAAACCCTAAACCCGAAACCCTAAACCCGGGGATACCTGGGGGGTAACTCGCAGCATGACGGCATGAGGCCTTGGTGCAGCATGTGGTGGAGGTGGGCAACTTCCGCAGGCGCCTGGCAACATGCTTCAGGGTTTAGGGTTTAGGGTTAGAGGTGTTAGAGGTGTTAGAGGTGTTAGAGGTTTAGGGGTTGAGAGGTTGAGAGGTTGAGAGGTTGAGAGGTTTAGAGGTTTAGAGGTTTAGAGGTTTAGAGGTTCAGAGGTTTAGAGGTTTAGAGGTTTAGAGGTTTAGAGGGTTCGAGGTTTAGAGGTTTAGAGGTTTAGAGGTTTAGAGGGTTCGAGGTTTAGAGGTTTAGAGGTTTAGAGGTTTAGAGGTTTAGAGGTTTAGAGGTTTAGAGGTTTAGAGGTTTAGAGGTTTAGAGGTTTAGAGGTTTAGAGGTTTAGAGGTTTAGAGGTTTAGAAGGAATCAGACGGTTTTATAGGGTTTCAAGGGTTTCGGGTTTGGGGCTCAAGTCGGATGAGTCTTTTTCTTTTGAACTTCCCTGTTCGTTGCCCTCTGCTCACTGTGCTGCAGGCCTTCCTCCGCCATTGCCTTTGCGGAGATGATGGGGGCAATAAGCGCTGCCTATGCGAAAGCTCCAGACGCACCCAAGATCGACGTCAACATGCGCTATTGTCAAGACCGAATTGATTGCACCCCGAAGTTGTACAAGGAGTTCTGGTGCTCCTTGGCCCAAGCATACACGCAGGGAAAACCCCCAACCCAGCTTCAATGTAAGTCACAAACAAAGTGGTTGACAGGGTGCGCTGTAGCTCTAGTACTGAGGTCAGCTGTGGCACTTGACGCAGGCTGATCGCGAACTCTGGCATTTTCCCGGTTCTGATGTCACCGTGGCTCCATCGTTGGTGCGTGACCTCCTGGAACACTGTGGCAGCACCGATCCGGCCCTAGCAAGCGCTGGCTTTCTCTGTTTGAATATTGGCCTTGCCAAGGGCATGCCGGAACTCAAACAAACAACAGCCGCAGGTATGTTGAGACTGCTGAAGTCGTCCCAGCTGAAGTGCGGATGGAAGATGAAAGCTTTGAGGCTTCTAGGACGTTGCATCGGGTCGATGAGCATTACCCTGCGACAAGAAGGTCTGTCTTTGTTGATGGAGATGCTGCGTCTCGAGACAGACGTTGGGGTGCGACAATGCGTTATCTCCAAGCTGGACCTCCTCTGGCGAGCAGCAGCTGAGGACCCATCAGACGCGTGGGAAGAAGCAGAGCGCCAGCTGCGGCAGCTGTGCCAGTCTGTGCCTCAAGACGTCCGCGTTGCACTGGAAGCGATTCTACTTTTTGACTGAAGCGCTCGCGCAAAAAGAGGACTTGCCCCCTGCATGTCAGATCTTGAGGGCCTCCCCAAGCCAAGAGCTCCAACGCCACAATGTGACCAGCCATGCGCATGCTGCTGCCGCCTCAAGCACAAGCTGCAGATCGAGGGCCTGTCCGCCAATACCAAGCTTCTCCAAGCGGGCCGTTCTCCAAGTTGCGGTCCCCCTTTATGAGAATAATCTTAACGCTACGCGACCAGCCTCGGCCAGAGCCTGCCGCCACTGCGCGACAGGCTCCGTGGGGTTCGGAGTTTCTTTGCACAGGGAAGAGGCAGGTAAAGGACCACTTTCACTGCAGGTTTGACACAGCCCCATGCAAAGTGCGTGGTCCCGTAACTCCAGAAAAAAAACAGGATCACGAACATGCACATCACCGAGGCTTAGATGCTCAGAATACATCATGTGCAGGCAAGGCTCAGGCAGCACGTGGCACTCCACCAATGCCGCTGAGCCTGCAAAGCGAGCTCATGCAAAGCGCACATCGGTCACGTGGATCGGGGACTTGTTGTTGGAACGCTGAAGAACGCGCACAGATAATTCCCAAACTAACTCTATCCGAAATACAGAGCCTTATTTTCGGGTACCTAAAATTGTTGAGGCCGACTATATAGAAGACGAAGACCAGGTTCGGCATTATTTTGCCCTCTCCCCCGCCCCTCTCCGGTCGCCTCTTTTTGTGTTTCCCCGTTTCCGTATCCCGCCCTCAACCACACCCTTTCCTCCTTCTGGCACTCCCCCGTCCCTCCCCCTCAACCTCGGACAAGCCAGCCCCGCATTTGTTTTTTTGTGTCTCTTCGTGACCCCCCCCCCCCAGCACGCCGCCACCTTGCCGTCATTTCTCTACATTAGGGCTCCTTTTGGGGTTACTAGTACAAGGCGGCCCCAAATATTTCAGGTACCCAACAAGAGACCCTAATTCCCCAAACAGTCTACTGTTGGGGTTCTAAATTCATTTAAGGATTGCCGACATTCTGAGGACTGTTGCCGGGGGTTCCTGGGCTCCTTTGTCTCCCTTTGTCTCTTTTTGTCTCCCTTTGTCTCCTTTTGTCTCCTTTTGTCTCCCTTTGTCTCCCTTAATGTGGGTGGCTTGGCCGGGTTGCTGTGCTCCTCGCCTCCCTTCGTCTCCCTTCGTCTCCCTGTATCTGCCGTCGTCTCCACTGTTTCTTTGACGTGCCTTTGACTGTTTGGGGTCTTCGATGGTGCAATTTTACAAATGACCATATTCCTGCTTGTGCCACGCAAGGATGAGCCGACTTGTGAACAAGGGGACGAGCCGACTTACGAACGAGGGCTTGAAGGCAAGGTGCCCCCCCCCACTTGCATCGGGCTGGTGAAGGTTTAGCTTTGCAGATCTTTCTGCGGTAGGACTTAAATGAAGGGCTTGGGGACGGGCATGGATGGGCAGGCGAGCCATCCTGGGGCGTTACCAACGGTAAGTTGCTTGTGAGCCCGACATGTTGGCAGGAGGGGACGCGCCTTTCCGATGCAGCCACAAGCTCAGAACATGTCAGAGCAGTTGAAAACCCAATCGCGTTCTCTTGCACCGCACAGACATGCCGCGTTGCCTTGCAGGCACTTGTGCAGGCTTCAGCAGCAGGACCAGCTGATTGCTCCAAGGTCCCAGCATTGGGGATGCTTTGGATTGGGGCCTTGACAGTTCATCACCATAGCTGAAAGACTTGAAGCTGCCAAGCCCCCCAGCCGAAGTATGAGCATCTGTGTGCTGTCCCGAGTCTCAACCTTGTGTGCTGAAACTGTGGCAACCCAATGAAGGAAGACAATCCGTGACACAAGGTGCACCCCCCCCCCCCCCCAAAAGAATAAACAAAACAAGGCACTGCATGAACCAACTGCGCAAAGCCACTCCATCGCAGTTCCCTATAGCAGCATCCCCATCAGCAAGTCCCGCCGACCCACGAGTACGCGACCCACCCCCCAAAGGCACTCGAGCCTGCTCCGATTGGCCGCTCTGCACCCCAGGCCTGTTTCGCTGCGCTGCCTGTGCTTTGACAAGATGGGCCATGATCCACAATGATCCACAATGATCTGGTGATCCGCCTCTCCTATAGAGCCTAGACCTCGAGGGTACAGAAACCCTAAGCCCCAAATTTCCTGAACGCAACCTTTTAAGCTGCGCTCCTTCGCGAGGCCTACGTGGAGCCGGAGCCCGAGATTCCTGATCTGCACCTCATGCAGCCGGAGCCCGAGATTCCTCATCTGCACCTCATGCAGCGTTTTAGGGTTTAGGGCTTAGGGCTACACCACAGGTTTGCGTAGAGACTGAAACGTCCTCTTTCTGCAACAAGATGCATTTCTCACTGCAGAGCTGCGTGGCCTCCATAGCAGCATGTGTCTTGGGATGATAGTAATGTTGGTGTATTACCAGGGTTCAGGGTTTAGGGTTTAGGGTTTAGGGTTTAGGGTTAGGGTTTAGGGTGCAATATGGCCAGCCACGGTGCCTCCAGGTCACTGCGCCAGTGGCTGCTGCAGGCGTGGTTGTTGTTCGCATTTTGAATCGAAGTGGCGTGAAGTTAAACCCTAAACCCTAAAACCTAAACCCTAAACCCTAAACCCTAAACCCTAAACCCTAAACCCTAAACCCTAAACCCTAAACCCTAAACCCTAAACCCTCTCGACCCTAAACCCTCTCGACCCTAAACCCTAAACCAGAAACCCTAAACCCTAAAGCCTAAACCCTAAACCCTAAACCCTAAACCGTAAACCCTAAACCCTAAACCCTAAACCCTAAACCCTAGACCCTAAACCCTAAACCCTAAAACCTACACCCTAAACCCTAAACCCTAAACCCTACCCTAAACCCTAAACCCTAAACCCTAAACCCTAACCCTAACCCTAACCCTAAACCCTAAATCCTAAACCCTAAACCCTAAACCCTACGTGCGGGCATGACCGCAGGCTGATTGTAGGGATCAGGCGCATCAGGCCCCAAAGCAGGTTAAGGGTTCGGGTTTTGGGTTTAGGGTAGAACCGGCGTCCAAACCTCAATCCTTGTCAGCACGCTTGGTAAGGTTTCATCCTGGTAAGGTTTCATCCTGGCTTTGTTCGATCTGAATTATGACGACTGTGCGGGTCAGCTGGTTTTCTTTCATGGTCTTGCGGCTCCGGGGAAAGTTTATTTGCTTTCTTAGTTGGACTCTACCTGAAGATGTAACACAATACAACACAATTTTTCCGGCGATGCCAGTGCGGTTGTTGACAGTAGGGGCATGAGGTGAGGTGCAGGGTTTAGGGTCGGGTTTGGTTAATCATGTTGGATTCGAGGCTCACCGCTATTAGCCCAACTAAGCCACAGGCCTTTGAACGTTCAGCCAGGGATGCTGCTAAGGCTAAGGGTACGAATGTGGAGACCCAAGCGGGTAAATCTGATCTCTGACGTTTTGGCCACAAGATCAGTCAGAGGGATTCCGACGGGAACTTGCCATGGAAGCCTCAAGCGTTTCAACAGGTCATTGACGAAACTTGGAGGTTTGAAAGGGCCTAGGTGACCATCATGTTCGTCCGAACCCCGCATCAGGGAGCATCGCGCTGTGTTGGCCTTTGCTTCCCGCTCCCGCCGCAGGTCGCTTGGCAGTTGTTTAAGTGCAGTTTGCACTGGTTCAGACCGGGAAGAACGGGGAGGGCGCATTCCTTGTAACAACCCTCCAGGGTTGCTAAATGTTGCAAGGCCTGCATCATTGTGCAGCATCATTCCAATCCCCACCCTACACCCTCATTGAGGATGCCAAGTTTGGGCTGGGTTCCGGAATCAGAAGCTTAGTTTGGATGTAGGGCTTGGGCTTAGGGCTGCTTTAGCTCATCTTCAAGTCTCCTCAAAAGCCCGGCACGCTCCAGCCCCACTCTTTGAGGCAAAGGTCACCACACTAACCCTTCATCCTCGAACCGCTAAAACCCGCGTAGGTTAGGGTTTAGGGTTTGGGGTTGAGGGTTTAGGGTTTAGGGTTTAGGGTTTAGGGTTTAGGGTTTAGGGTTTAGGGTTGAGGGCCACCAGTTCAGGGTGACCAGGTCCCCCGGTCCGAGCGCCGCAAGGAGGAGGCAGTGGCCCAGGACCCGCGTGCTGCTGGTTTTCGGAACCTTGGGGACGACATGAACCCTAAGCGTTTCGACCGTCCGTCTCCCTAAACTGTATTCACCTTGGGAATCATTTTTTGATTATAAAACCCGAGAGGATATTAAAGCTATGATTTTTATTAAGGTTCTAAGGGGAGTATAGTCAAATAGATGAAGATGCATTTTTTCTGACCGGTTGGCCTGGCTCTTGCATACAGCTGAGTTGCCCCCACAGCCGCATTTCAGAAGCTGTTGCTTGTAGCTTCCCTGTTCATGGAGCCGTGCGCCCCGTTCGTGATACTGATGCTTCCCATACACCCAAAGCCGTATGAACATGCAAGCCCGCATGGTTGGAACAAGCTCCACACCCCCTCCTAATCTGTAGGGAGGTACTGGGAACACAACTTCGGCGAGCGAGAGCAAGAACAGAAAAATAAACTTCACAAATGACCTGTGGATCCAAAAGAAGTGATTCATGGCGCGCCATGTAAAAACGACAAGGTCAGCTGGGATCCAATAGAAGCCCCCGTGTGCTGGTTTGGGGATCAGAAATGATGGTCGCATTTGAGAGAAGGCTGCTGGTGTTGTCCGTTGTGTTTGCCTTCCCAGTTCGTGGATCTTGTGGCTAAGGGGAGTCTGGCTGATCGTTGCCCATCCAATGTCGTGCTCCCGGTTCGTTACTGATACTTCTGAAACTCGTTTCGGCAGCGGTAGTTGTTTTCTGCTATTCCCCGCATACCATGCGAGGTTCTGGTTTTTCTTGCTTGCCCGCCCACCCGCCCCCCTCCCCTACGACACACAACACACAACACACAACACACAACACACAACACGCAACACACAACACACAACACACAACACACAACACGCAACACGCAACACACAACACACAACACACAACACACAACACACAACACACAACACACACAACACACACAACACACACAACACACACACACACAACACACACAACACACACAACACACACACAACACACACAACACACACAACACACACAACACACACAACACACACAACACACACAACACACACAACACACACAACACACACACCACACACACCACACACACAACACACACAACACACACAACACACACAACACACACAACACACACAACACACACAACACACACAACACACACAACACACACAACACACACAACACACACAACACACACAACACACACAACACACACAACACACACAACAAACACAACACACACAACACACACAACACACACAACACACACAACACACACAACACACACAACACACCCAACACACACAACACACACAACACACACAACACACACAACACACACAACACACACAACACACACAACACACACAACACACACAACACACACAACACACACAACACACACAACCCACACAACACACACAACACACACAACACACACAACACACACAACACACACAACACACACACAACACACACAACACACACACACAACACACACAACACACACAACACACACAACACACACAACACACACAACACACAACACACACAACACATCAACAAATCAACACATCAACACATCAACACATCAACACATCAACACATCAACACATCAACACATCAACACATCAACACATCAACACATCAACACATCAACACATCAACACATCAACACATCAACACATCAACACATCAACACATCAACAAATCAACACATCAACACATCAACACATCAACACATCAACACAACACATCAACACATCAACACAACACAAATCAACACGACACACAACACAACAGACACACAACACACAATACACAGCACACAGCACACAACGCATGCATTACAGGCTCCACGCACGCACGCACGCACGCACGCACGCACGCACGCACGCACGCACGCACGCACGCACGCACGCACGCACGCACGCACGCACGCACGCAC